CCTTTTAATTAGGTTGGAATTCCCTTTGAACGTAACCTAGTTCCATACTAAATGTTTTTAATCTATACATACTTCAAAATTATTATTATGTATTATGTATGATTATGATAAGCACAGAAAAAGGCATTAACATGCAAAATGTACCACCTGCCACTTGTTACAGTTGCCAAACTCTGAATGGCGACCACTAAACACCATCCACGAATTACTCTAGCTACTATTATAATATAATTACTGCAATACGTATATAGAATTTAAGTGGATATAATAGCATCACTCAAATATGATGTTACGTAAACCCATTTTCTTAAATCTATTATACCAAATCATGATGTAACATTGATATAGTTCCATAGTGATTAGCCCACATAGAAGCAGCATATCCCCACAGATTGTCATAACACATGGTTTGATAGAAATAATGCAGATGCGAGTAGGTAGTTACCAGTTACCTGAACTAAAAGTCACGTCTTCAAAAAAAATGTTGACAAACAATTTTCGAAACCGTATTTCTCTACTTTGACTGAATTTTGAATATTTAATGAAGTAAATCAAGATTATTTCTACTCGCATCTAGTCTATTACTCAGATGGAAGTAAAGAGCTATTGCAATATAATTAACTATAGAGATAGGATGTTAACAGCCGTATTGTATACAATTTCAGGAGAGTACTCATTTCCCACTGTAATAGCACAAAGAGCTTTAAAATCCATGTAGTCATTTATCAGAATGGCTGATTCATGAGGATGGAGATTTTCTCTAAATTATGTGATACGCTGTCAGTTGAGCCAATCAATGTGTGGAAGTGCACTACAGGGTGATCACAAAAATTGAAAACCTCTTATTTTGGAATATATTTCCCAATCAATGGTGCTACAGAGTGCCCCAAGATTGCATTGTAGACTGCATGTATATGATTTCAGTTGTTTTCATTTTGTACTTTCTTGTTTTACATATTTTTTTGTCTGAGGTCAAATTTTTAACTTTTCAAAATTTCACTAACTCAAAGTTCCTGTCTCCTCAAATTCAGAATTCTAAAATTGACCATTTTAACCATTTTTAATGTATTCTAAGAATAATCTGTATTTTCCCTCACCATGGCAACCACGATTGATTACAAAAATACTAAGTGCATGTATATGGATTAATAAAACACTCCAGCTTTTCTTTGATGTTATCTTAACCTGAAAACATTGTCTTCAAGACAACAATTCTTATCTATAAGCAACATTTTAAAGTGATGCTACTTCACACAATCAGGAAATGATGTCACCGAAACCATCATAAACAATAGCATTTTCTCAATGTTCAATATTGGAGAACTATAAAAATGGTTAGGATAACACGATGCAGAAATCCATTAGTTCAACTAAAAGTACAGACGAAACATAGAGAAACCTGTATATATGAACACATATTTAAACTGAACATTGCTAAATTTGAATAATTTTTTTGTCCCATTTTTTAATCTACCATGTTAAAAAATCTTGAAATCTGAAGATTTTTCAATCTGGAACTCTTGGAACTCTTGGCTGGCCAAAGCAATGTTCAGCTCAGAGAGGTTTGACTGTATGAGCAAATCACCGAATCATTTACATACACCCTTTGGGGTGTCTTTTTCATGTTATTGATGAAATGTTGTATGATGTAATTTTGAATGAATAAATTGAATTGAATTGAATTATATCTAAATATACTTTTAAAAAATAAAGCCAAAAATGGCCATGTATATTCTTGTTTATTGTTGCCTAAGTTTTGTAGTTCAAATTTTATTGCCTGGAACTTGATGAACTCACATTAAATTGGACATAAGGTTGTGTTTGATTGTTGTTAAAATACAGTTGATCATCCTGTGGAAGGACACACTGACAAGATAAGTCATCTTTGGAAAAAATGTACTTGATTTCTTTGGTATTCAAGTGCATTTATTACATGGTCAGAAAACTCATTCCATTTGTGTTAAGACAAATCCCTTGCATAAAGGAGGGGGAGGGGGGGGGGGGTGTACCATGACAGCCTGTGCCTGAAATACTAAATAGCTACTCAAAGGGGGGGGGGGGTTAAAAATGCATCAAGGTGGTTCAAAAGCAGTACAGGGTGTCAAATAAATATGTTCTCTCCCTTATCTTTTAAATAAAATCATGTCGTCCCCCATATGTTATATACTAAACTTAACCTTGTTGAGGTGTTGGAGCACATACCAAGTAAATATAAAATAATGGACTCCTCAAAATACTTACTCTGCATATAGGGGGTCTATAGTAGAATGTACCATGGCAACCAGTGCCTCTGCTATTTGTTGATAAGATGTGGCAAAGTGGTGAGGAAGGCGGTCCATCACCGCTTTAGAGTCCTCCCAATCTCCGATCTTGATGAGTGCTTCTATTAGGCCTAGCTTCTGATTGGCTAAATACTGAAATCAAAAATTTTCGAAATATATTTTTTGGGTTTGTATTATTTTTTATCATGTGTTTTTCTTAGAAGCATAATTCTAAAAATTGTTAGGGAAATCTCACTTTTACATTTACCTAGCAATCCCTTCGATTTTCATACCATCCCAGAAAGTATCAAATCTAGCAAATCGATCCATCAAACCCCTCCCACAAAAAAGAAATTGTTATAAATTTTTCATATTTTTTTTTAATGTACACTTTTGATATATGTGCTGATATACCCTCTAATGGTTATCTAGTGCCAACCCTGTTAATCAAAGTTTTACGATCTATAGTAAATAAATAAAAAATAATATAGAAAAAGATGCCTAGAAGATGCATAAATGCCCACTGCCTGACACAACGATGCCAAAAACTAAAGGTTTGTATACACAAAAAATCACTTGTGAATTTTGTGATGTACAAAACATCATGAAATTGACATGGATTGTCAATTGGTCTGACACATCTACGTCAAGACTTGCTCATATTAATTCTTGAATCGTCAATTGGTCAATTGGTCTCTCATATCTACGTCAAGACTTGCTAATATTAATTCTATTTCCTTTAGGATGAAGAAGTTCCTCTTTATGTTAATGTATTTCATGTTTTCAAAACATTAACGATGACCTTCGGAGGATTTCATTGGCAGGAAAAGTACTTGATGTGTGTGAGTAACTGAGAAGAGTCAGGTTAGGCACGTTGATGCTGCTATAACACGCAAACAACCTTGAGATTTCTAATGGATTCTCAGTCAAAGGAAGTGGCACTGTATCTGTTTTGGAAAAGATGTAACGGCAGGGAGAAATCATGTTTATGTCACAAGTTGATCTTGTTACCCATCATCATAGACACATAGACGTCAAACATCAGCTTTTTCACACCTACTTCAACTTTTCATTTTTGAATTATTTTTAGTTCTTGTCTAAGTGCAAAATTCATTTTTGACTAAGAAATGCAAAAAAAACTTAGTCAAGATCTCTAAATTATTTACAGTCTTTTAAATTCTTAAAGTGGGTGCAAATGGTTGCAAGATGGGTTGCAAAATAGGTTGCAAGAATGGTTGCAAGATATAAGGTGATTTTTAACCTCAAGTTTCTTGCAATAAGTCAAACTGAGCTCTTATTGTATTTCTTTGGTATTGACAGATCTTCTCTAAATTCAGTACCTTTCTAGCATTCTTAGCAAGGTGAAGATGGTCTTAGTATTAGAATGATATGCTCTTTTTAATGACTTTTAATATACACAGGTACAACAAACTAGTATACAGGTTTCAAGATAAAGGCCTGTTGCAAACCTTCTTTGCCTTGGGGCCAAATTCTCAGAATGCTGAAAAAGTGCATGATTTTGAAATTATTTTTGGCCTGAGGGGGGAGGTTTCCCCGACCCCCTGGATATGTGCCTGTGCTACTCTTAGTTGTTTGTGGTATCATAGCTAAAGCATAAAACTTTAGGTTTATTCAGGTTATATTTTTCCAAACTCTGTTTCCTTTTAATTCATCTGTATTATTTCTCATTTTGAAGGCCACCGAGAACACGAAGGAACTCATTTCATGGTCCATCACATATCCTTGACAATCACACCTGGTAGATTTATCTTATCATGGAGGTCTTCCAGTTTTCAAAATCTCTCAAGTCATCCAAATTTTGCACCGTTTCTCTCAAAATATTGAATAATGCATTTCAATTTACTGTATTTCTACATAATTTGGACAATTGGCTCCATGCCTGTTTACTTTATTTCTTGCTGATTCCACTCTTTTTCCCTTTATTTTGTATCTAAAACACCATCCCATGATATTTTATCCATGCTATATTATGAATAATAGTTAACATCCAAACAACACTTACATTGGGATTTAAAGGAATTACGTGAAAACATAAATAAGCAGATCTATGTCAGGCGTTCAACTAGGTCAAATTGGCCTCCAAAGTGAACCAATTTACTATTCAAAGATTTCAGCAAAATCTGTTATATTTTGATAAAGTGATAATCCTAGCAGAATATTGGACTCCGGCAAGTAGACTTCACCTTTAGAAGACAATGGGATAAATGCAAATGAACATATTAAGTCTTTAAGTCTATGACAACTGGCTGTAAGGATATTGAGCCTATAGCCATTTTCTGCATACAGTAAAACCTGTATCCAAACACCTCTCAATGTGAACATTTTTTGATCCTGTTTTTAAAATCTGCTGACCAGGGGTATCCAGGAGTTTCACTACAATTTCTCACAACATGCTAAATATATGAAAACAATAGGCAAAATTAATGGAAATCATGAACTAAACATGGAAAAGTTGAAAAGTCCGTAAAAAACACAGGCGATTTTGTGAAAATAATCGGTGAAAATTGCATGTTGCCTGCTTAATGAAACCTCTGTGTATCCACCATGTTTAAAAACAACAAGATGTGAACACTTGCTAAACTGAACACCTTTGGCTGGTCCCAATCGTATTAAGAGCAAAACAGCGACCATGTAATTTATTCAGCATGCTTAAAACATAATCAGATGTGGACGATCAATTTGGACGACAAGATTTTTGTGGCACCCATGTGAACCCACGCCCAGCAGCACAAGATGTTAATCAAATAATCCCTTGATTCCTAAAAGTTTTTTTTACATACATTCTTAAAAAATAAAGTAAATCCAAATTTAGAAAAGTCTATCTTAAATGATAACTCAAAATTTGCATTATCACTGAAAACCAAGCCACACGTGGTAACCTGAAACATGTAGTGAAGTGATACACCAAAAAATCTGTTTCGTACATGTATAAAGTTCTGGTTGATGTTTTGATGTGGTTGCTATAACATTGTGACCTCACAGCCTCGACAAATAAACAAATAAACAAACAATAGTCAAATAAATAAACTACCTTATCATTTTTCTCTTTCTCTTTTTCCACTGGATTTTCTTTCTCTTCATCTTTCTTATCTGAAAGCGAGACGACCGCAAGTTTGCGAGCGTAAAGTCTTGCCTCCGTGACTTCTTTCTTCTGTTCCTCAAGTATGACATCATCGCTTGGATACAACTGTAAACAAACAAACAGACACTCATTGTAATCAGTAGTCCATATAATTATATGGCTTTAGAAAAAATGGCAGTATGCTAATTTGGAAACATATTTTTGATATTCAGTAAAAGTATAATATTTATGCAACTTAAATCCTTTGAGAATCTTGAGTATATGATTGTAATTTGTAATGCATTTGAAACGAACAAAGATACACAAAATAAAATAGCTAAAATAGAATGGGTAATCAGCTTAATAATAAACTTGAATCTCTTGCACTTAAAAGTGCTAATGCAGTGAAACCTGTAAAGTGGAACACCTTTAGAAGTGGAACACCTCTGTTAGTTGAACACCTTTGAGAGTACCAAGACCAACTGACTCAATGTTAAATGAACCTCTATAAGTAGAACACCTCTCAAGTGGAACAATTTTTAAAGGTACTAAAGGTACCATTTATTTCTGAAAATTATGAAATCCATTTGAGTAATTAAGATTCCAAAGGCAAATAGGGAAATCAGTTGGAGGAAGTCATCGGACTATAAAGTAGGTCACCTTAACTTAATCAAACTTTTGATACTACATCAAGGAGAAAAAATATTTTAACAAATTGGTGCGGCAGTATTAGTTAGATAACTGGTAAATGCGTGTTAAAGCAGGAAAGGTACAGAACTGCAGAACTTAATCAAGTCTTCCACAGTTCCGCCGTGTTAATGAATTCAACCTTAAAATCTGGGTAGTATTAAACACTATCTCCAGTCAATGCTTGCCAAAAATGAGTGCATCCTGGAAAAATTATTACTTTTGCAATACGTAGCACGCACTTTTGAGAAAATGATGAAGTTTTTGGCGAAAATATAATCATTTTTTAAAAAATAGATTCTTTTTTTAGTAAGTGATAAATTGTCCAAAAAGTGTCACTTTCAATGATTTTTCTTGTTTTCTATCCAATTCTAACCAATTTTTATCTCATATGGACAGAGTGCATAATTGCTAAAATGTGGAGATCTCTGATGTCCCCATGCTGGAAATAAAAGAACTGAATTATTGAAGAAATCCATCATTCAACAGATCTTTGAGAAAATAGGAAATAGACCATGACGTATGTCCAGTAAAATCAATGGAGTAGAGAGAAAACATCATAAATCTGATAACTTTATTCTACTAAAGCTATTTCACAAGAAAAATACACCATACAATACTCAGGGGTTTCACTTGAATTTCTCACAACAGGCTGAATAAATGAAAACAACAGGCAAAATGGAAATCATAAAGGACGATTCTCGGTTTGGAGAACAGTCACTGAGACTCTTATAAACAATACATTTACAATACATGTCTGAAACCATTTATATCAACTTTATTTTGCTACTTTTATTTAATAGGGAGGCCAACAATGTAATTTTACCTCGGCCTTCCTAGTATGTTAAATATTGTTATATAAAATTATGCAAAGAAATAAAACTTAACCTTAAAAAAAAAAAAAAGAACAGTCTCCTGGGCTAATAATTCTTTTCATGAAAAATATAGAAATATTACCCAAATTAAACTATGAATATTCAAAAGAGGACACTTAAATCCACAAGATGTAAAAATAACAAATTGGTCTGAAGCAGGGATAACGCTCAATAAGACCGATTCAATAAAATACAAGTCTCGATTTGGGGAAAGAAGTTCATCAGTGTACTGCACTAATATTTTTTTGCGAAAAATCTGGAAATATTACCCAAATTAAATTATGACTATTCAAAAGAAGACATTCAAATCTACATTATGTGAAAAAATCAAATTTGTCCGAAGCAGGGATAATGCTCATTTAGATTGATGAACTTCGTTCTCCAAACCGAGAATCGTCCTTTAACATGGAAAAGTTGAAAAGTCCCTAAAAAGAACAGGCGATTTTGTGAAAACAACCGGTGAAAATCGCCTGTTATCTGCTGCTATTAATGAAACCCCTGCATACTGGGTCAGTCATATTTTAAAACAAAATAGGGAAAAGGACTGTAGTAACTTAAGACATGAAAACCACATTTTATTCAATATCTGTACGTAACTTTTCAGAGAATCAATGCATAAAATAGAAACAATTCATGGAAATGAAAAACTATAAATTAATTTGAGGAAATGATGAATTGTAACAGACTGCTGTGGTACTTTATGGCTTGTTTGGGGACATTGGAGTCACTTTATCACATGCTAACAGCTTAAAAATATATCATAATCAATTTATCAATGTACTTCCAATTATAATGTTCAGTATTCACTGGAATCACTGAATTATTTTACGTTCTGATGAAAAATGGTTCCATTCATGCTTTTGAGAAACAGAGACTCCCGGAACCTTATATGAGCAATAGGAAATACAGCGCTGAAAATATGAGGAGATTTTAACAATGTTTAAACTGACAATTAATGCAATATCCCAAGGCTTTTGAAAAACAATATGTTTACATACGTAAATCTGCTACCGCCTAAAAGGCCAATTAATCCTAACAAGGGATAAATGCTAGTGAATGAAACATAAAAGGTAAAATTTTTAAATCAAAAATTAAGCGTAAAATAACGTAATTAACCAGGAATGAATTTAGCATACAAAGAAAACACTCTAAATTATACAGATACCCTAAAAATCTGATACTTCAGTAGAATTTAGAAGAGATATTTAGAGAAATAAAAAAAGCAGATGATCTTTTCAGTCGAAGAATTTTCCATATACACAGGGCATAATATTTAGCTTTTCGGGTCATGTACGTCATGCACTGTCATCTAATTGTTCAGATGCATCAGACACAAATACAACTGAGGAAGTTCAAATAAATATCTTTAATCATACAAAATATTTTTTTAAAAGACAGTGTGATTTGCACTGATTTCACGATAAAATGTATGATTCTACAAAATGAATGAGACACAATATTATGATGTGATTGTGTGATATATATAAGTAGCAATACGATTTTTGCATCATGAATTTTTGCCATCAGAAAATCACCACACTATTGATTATGTTATGGATAAACTATGAGTACTGAGTTTTAGGAGGAATAATAGCCCATAATTGTATTTGACAGATAACATTTTCTTTCACTGGACATATTTTAATTTGCATGACTATAAGATGCAAAGGGTTATATGGAAATCGAACTACTAAAACAGATGTGATTTAAGTTAAAGGGAACTTTCTACTATACCCGCCATGCTATCTGACCCAAACGAGCCACTCGCTGGTGAAACTGGTAACTACCTACTCGTATCTGTGTTATTAAAATCTGATGAATCTATTCACGGCTATAAAAATTTCGCACTAGGCCGGAATACAGAGACACCCTGAAAAAGGTAATAATACTCATCTCCTTAGAGACGTCAACATCATTAGGATTATTCTCAAAGATACGTAATTGGACAATATAAATGTGAGATAAAAAGGATTTTCAAAGAATGTAGATGAGAAAAGGTTAAAGGTGTAACATGGACATCATATTGCCTATCATAATATTTATGTTTACTTAACAGAGGGGAATAACCTCTCCTCGGACTATGACACTTCATATCAACATGTAAAGATGATAGAATATTTTATTGGTATTTTACCATATCATACTATGCCGATTGGTCAAAATACATGTAGATGTCAGAATTTTATACAGTGCATTAGCATGCAAAATATCACTACCTGCCATTTGTTACAGAAGCTAAATGGCGCCCTCTGAATGATAGTTTCACTAAAACTGTGGAATAAAAAAAACTTTCAGACAAAGAACGCCTCTAGATATTTTTATATGATCTCTGACATTAATAAAGAATATGATCGAGATTACTTAAGAACGTTTAAATAATAGAATATCTCATCCCATTTTCTAAGGTTAACAAGTAGGGAGTATTGATAGAATAATAATGATCTATCTGATCCCAATCAAAAAATAAAGACAGGACCCAGAATTCCTCTGGTAGGCATGTGACCAAAATAAACCAATCAGAGATGAGAGCAAACGTAAGGATGCATGGGGTAGTATGGGAAGTAAATACCTCTGCTGCTATCTCAGTTAATTGTCTTCCTATCTGTTTCTTTACCCACACTTCCTTTATTAGAAATCAATAATAAAGGAGAGCAGGTAGAATTATATTTCGAGGATCCATTATATTCTCAGAGTGAAGGGACATTTATCGAGTTCTAGGAAAGGTTATTAAAAAAAAGCAAAGTAAAATAAAGTCAAAGTAAAGGAAAGCAATATAAAGCAAAGCAAAGCAAAGTAAAGTCAGAGTAAAGTAAAGCAAAGCAAAGTAAAGCAAAGCAAAGTAAAGCCAAGTAAAGTAAAGCTATATTATAGTCCAATTTGCAACTTTAAGCAACTTCCCCCATCAGTCATTCCTAAAAGATGAGCAAACACATAGATCTTTAAAAAATATAAAAATGTGCCTGCCAAGCATATTTCAGTATATACGAATTTCCAGAGTTTAGACAAACTCACACAAGTCTGATTTTTTCTGGTTGGGAATAACCCAGATGTGAGTAGAAATAATCTTGATTTACGTCATTAAAAATGCAAAATTCAGTCAAAGTAATATCATATTTGAAATCTACATGTAAAATTACATCTAGAAATGTGGTTTTAAAAAGTGTTTATCAACTTTAAAAAATTAATTTTCTTTGAAAATGTGACTTCTAGCTCGGGGAGATTCCCCATAGACCCCATGCTATAAAATCACAAAAAATGAAATATTTTTCCTTTTAGTGGACAGATAATATTTTGCTTTACTAGACATATTTTCATTAGTATAAGACCAGACGCATAAGGGTTATATGAAAATTGAGCCACTTAAATTGATAATATTCAAGTTTAAGGGAACTTTCTTATATACCTGCCATGTTAATTGACCCGAATCAGCCACCTGGTGGGGAAACTGGTAACTACCTACTCGCATTTGGGTAATTACACCCCTTAATAGCTAATGGCTTCCTCCTGATAGCATATTGTAAAGTAAGTCAAACTGCCGCATGTAAGCCATCAATAACAACTATAAGGG